CTTCCCCTGCTCTGTAGCCGCCGCCTTGACTTCCTCCAACTCTGGCTCGACGTCGAGCAACGTGCAGGTCGTTGCCATGAGAAGAGCTGGCTCCTCGTCGTCCACCTGTGCTAGGTGCGCCTCCCTCTTCTCCTTCTTGGGATTCTTGCAATCCCGGGCCCAGTGCCCTGTCTTCCCGCAGCGTCGACAAGTGTCCTTATCGATCGGACGTGCGTTGTTGCCGTCCTTCTTCTTCTGCGGGGCCTTACCATGACGCTTGCCGTAGCCGCCACGGATGGAGGAGCCTTCCCCGGGTCGCCGCTCGCGCATACGAGCTGCCCATTCTTCCTCGGTCAGTAGTAACTTGCCGCTGGTAGTTATCGTCGCCGTCTCCACGCGGTCATCCACTGCCCGCAAGCGCCCAGTCACATCCTCAATCGTGAGGGTGGACATGTCGATCAACGTCTCGATGGAGAGCGCGATTTGGGTATACTTAGGCGGCACGACGCGCAAGTATTTCGCTACCGCCTCCTCGTCGGTGATGGTGACGCCGTGCGCCGCCAGCTGACTGACGAGCGACTGCAAACGGAGCGAGAAATCCTCCACTGCCTCGCCGTCGCGGAATGCTAGCGCCTCGTACTCCCGCCGCAGCTGCTGCGCCTTCGCCTTCTTTGCGCGATCAGACCCGATGCGCATGGCCTTGAGGGCATCCCAAGCAGCCTTTGCGGAGTCCTTTGAACCCAGCGACTCCACGTACTCGGGAGGCACAGCGGACAGAATTGCTTCCAGCGCTGCGCAATCCTCTTCTTCATCCTCGGTGCCTTCCTCGATGGCCCGCCAAAGCTTGCGCGCACGCAACTTGACCTTCATCAGCACCGTCCACTCGCCGTAGTTTGTGCATGTGAGGACCGGCCAGTTGGCCCCGCCAATGTCCCGCATGGTCCTGTGGATGATGACCTCCTGGCGTGGTGAAGCGTATGCTCCGCTCCCTTGCACCATCGACGCAACATCTTGGCTTGCCATGGCTCTGATGCCACTTGTTAGACCCCGCTCGTTCACTGCTCAGGTAAGCAAAAAAAAATGCTTCCGGTACAAACGAACACTTTTAGGATGAAAGAAGAAGATTGTGAACAACTCAATGTATTGAGTATTAAGCTTTTCTGTGTTGTGTTTTTTTTTACAAATGAAAAACTACATCCCTATTTATAGGAACTAAAAACTACTATTCAACACTTTCCTAGAAATTACTAAAGCTGAAAATTCAGCCTAAAGGGGCTGCTATGAAGGTCCTTTGCAGCTGCAAGGAAGCTACAAAGAAAATGCAATGAAAGTGTAATGAAAGTGCAAGGAAGTTGCACTTTACTAACAAGGAAACTGCAGGATTATATCTTACACCTTCGATGCTTAGTTATTATTTTATTCTTCAATATACTTTCTATGATTTATGCCTTATTTCATGCGATCTCTATCGGGTTCCAAGATGTGCTCTAATGCTCTGCTGACCATTGTGAATATGAATTGGACCCAACTTCCATAATTTGGTGTAATACGTTGTTGACCATTTTGCATATGGTCCAATGCTGCAGAATCGAACTTAACTTATGAGCCCATTTTTTATGCACTGGCTATTATGCAGATTTATTTATCACACCCTATTCTCACTTATCAGTGAACTAGGAAATGTAGAGCATACTACCCCTGCATTGGCTCTGCTGGAAAATCTGTGACTTTGTGTGAGACTACAGATTCTTGATAATGGATGTTGGAAATGTGAAATTCACCTTTTGGAGGATATGAATCATTCGATTCCCCAAGTTATGACTATGCTATTTGATTATATATAGCTGAAAAATGAACTGAAGTTGTAAGTTGTGACGGATAACTGAGACGTAAATCGTCCTTTTGTGCTATGTACATCAGATTTTTCCCTTTGGTGCTCATCTTAATCATGCTCTTTATCTTGTTTTTTGAATTTGTCAAAACTGTTTCTTCCAATTCTTTCTAAGGAATCCGCATGTTCGTTGTAACCTTTTCGTCGACAATAATTTGTTAGTGCTAGTTATTTTAAACTATATGCTTGATAACTCGAAGAGGACTGTCAGCTGGTTTTTATGCATTGGTTTCTGTTCTCAATAAGGTGGTGTCTCACAATATTAAGTGGAAGATAAACCAGATTATTCACTTTATCAGCCATGTTTTCTGTCAGAATTTGAAGCTGAGGATCAGCCATCCAAGATTTCTAAATATTGCAGCTTTGGATGTTATGAATTTGGAATTTCCATCTTTCCTTAGAAATCGGGAACATTCTTTACAGCAACCGGCCACTGCTGATGCAGTAGATAGCATATTTGTATTTCCTGAGGTCAGCCAGCAGAATTTAACATTATATTGCATCAGCAGTTTCAACAATACAATGATTGGAATCTATTGTTTTATTTTCCTTTTTACAGACCACAGCAAATTCTTGGGAAACGCCATTGAAGTGGCCCCTATGGTTTAGGGCTGCTGTTGCTGGGAGCGTTTCACTTTACATATCACTTTACTATGAGATAGAAGATGGATTTTCAGTGATAACATATCGAACTTTACGCATTCAGTACAATTTGGAGGTAAATAAATTATGATATATATTTTTACAATCTGGAGGTAAATAGATTATGATGTCTATTCTTACCAATTTGTATCACTGAATTCTTAGTGTCAAATTAACTTGCTAGGCATCATGGTACCTTTTATTTTATTGATCAAAGGTTACCTTTTTTTTTTTTTAATTGTTTATTTGATACCCTGTTAAACTAGGTACTGCCATCTCTAGAAGTGTCGTTGCAGACCAGCTCCTGTCCTTCAAGATTGCAGGAGTTTCTTGTCAGGATGGATATCGTAAACAAAACCAACTCAGAGAGTTTTCGAGTTCATCAATTATCATGTGTTGGAGATCAATGGGAACTTGCACTACTCCGGCCAGCAGATCCTGTGGTTTCTTTTGAACTTTTATCTGCCGGTCAAGCTTTATCATGCTTTTTCAAACTAAAGGTTTGAGTCTGACCTGAAATTTAGATTTTCTCTAAGCTATCTTATTGAACTGCCTTCGGCAAATAATTTTATTAATTTAATTGCTGTGTGCTTTACTACTTACTGAAAATATGCCATTAAGGTTGTAGAGTATACATTCGAACTTCAGTTGCCTGACGACTTGACCAAGTTTTGGTTGTGTTGCATATTACTTAATTCTTAAATAGAAATATAGTACATGATGGTATATGTTAATGTGTCTTATACCACCAGACTTAAAAAATATTGAGTTTGGAAATTTGACTCTTCTTGGGAATTGCACTGTTAGTTTTTTTCTTTTTTCAAGTCATATATGCATTTGCCAACGAATTTGGTGAAAATGGTTTTGCTCATGAATTATTGCTATTATACCTAAAAAATTACTTTTATCTCATTCACCATTCTCTCTCTCTCACCTTTCCCCACCATATTTTAAAAGAAATTTACATTGCTTTCATAATTAAGTTACTTCGAAACCCAGCATCGCAGGAGGCAAGGTAGTACTGAGAAGACAATATCTTCCATTGCTACATCAGGGAGAGCGGATGTGGGGCTCGTTGACAGTGATTTCAAAAGCTTGTATGATACTTCAATTTCACCTTTCAATCTATTTCACCATTATGAAAGATTGCACCAAGACAGACGCGAGCAGGTTTGCCATGTGCCTCTTTGTTCTCTCCAACCTCTAATTGAAAATCATAGCTACCATGTCCATATGTAATCATGATTCCCCAAGTTCCGTTTAGAATACCTTAATTTAAATTTTATGTGTCTTCTGAATGTTGGTGTAACATTTTATTAGTTTGAGTATATATGTAACTTGAAGAGTGTATGAATATGCTAAAAACACTCTTCTAGAGTACAAAAATTACATTTGTGCTATGCAGATGGTTTGCTGAAAATATAACTATACTGCTGATACGACTATCATGGTTTACATCAAATTTCCATCTCAATATCTGTCAAATTATTATTTCTGAATAGTAATTACTATATATTTTCAATCTAGGATCTTGTAAGCTCACTCGACTTCATCTTGATATTCGAGTCACCGAGTGAAAACGATGCTGGGAAGCCTAGCCCACGAGTTTTCTCTCATCACTCTTGCCATTGCAGGTAAGCCTCTCATTTAACTTCTAATTATTTCCTAAAAAATAAAAAAATAAATTCTGCATGTTTTTTGTACTTTTGATCTTTCCATTATCTGATATCTTGTTTTATTCTCTCGTGTAGGCTTGCAAGTACGAGCCCAATATGGTGGTTGATGGACGGGCCCCGGTCAGTGAGGCACGATTTTTCTTCCACTTTCTGCGAAGTCAATCTGAGCATGACTGTTCACAATTCCTTGGAAGATATCGTGTCTGTCCGCATCAAAACCCTCGACTCCATGCCGGCGGTCAACTCTTTGACCAGTGCAGGGCCCGTTCCTGGAAACGAAGCGGGCTGGCACGACACGTCTCATCTTAACGAAATCAAAGTAACAACTGATGTCATGGGCGCCCGGTTAGGCCGCGCCTCGTCAGCCGAGAGCATTACGCCTTTCTTGTGGACCGGGTCGAGTTCGACCAAATTTGAGCTGGGGCCGTTGTCTTCAGTTGTGGTTCCTATGCAGATTTCCGTTTTCGCCCCTGGAACGTTTGATTTGTCGAACTACTCTCTGGACTGGAGTGTCGTGTCGTCTGGTGATGGGGATGGGTCGAGAGCTTCTTCTGGTACATGCAGGGGTCATACTTATCATATTACGGTGCTCGGAAAAGAATGAATTGTTTGTAATGAGTAAAGAAATCAAAGATAAATTATCATTGCTGGGGAGACTGTATGGCTTAAATTTTCTATTGGAAATTTTCACTAATATTTCAACTATCTCAAAAAATCAAGCCATGGTTTCAAAACACCATATGTTTGTTTGCAAGTATGGTATTTATTTATAAAATAATAATAATAATAATAATAATAATTTATGTTTGTTTGCTAAAATATGATATTTGGTTATAAAAGAATGTAAATTTATTGAAAAAAAAAGTTTAGTTGTCTAACCCTAATTTCAGCATTTGAAAAAGATAAAATAAAAAATCTAATTATAAACTATTTCTATTGTTTTTGTTCGTTAAGTTGTATTTTGAAATGTTTTCGAATTTAGTTATTTTTTTTTCCCAACATAGAGCACATTATTCAAGGGTAGTTTATTTATTTAAAAAAAAAAAAATAAGTAGACAAAAAAAAAAAAAAAAAAAAAAAAAAAAAAAAAAAAAAAAAGAGTGGACCAAAACAAAACAGTCGCATTCTTAGAATACGTTTTCTTAAAAAAAAAATTAATCAAGAAAACGTATTCCGAAAATACGTTTCACAAAAAAAGTAAAATTAATTTTTTTAAAAAAAAAACGTTTTAAAAAAAAAAATATGCAAATAATAATTAAAATGTATTTTTATAAAATGTAATGTAAAAATACGTTTTAAAGCAAAACGTATTATGAAAATACGTTTCAAGAGGAAAATTTTTTTTTTTGAAAAAAATAATATTTTTATTAAACCGTATTCTCAGAATACGTTCGATAAACGTATTCTGAGAATACGGTTTTTGCGTTTAATATATATAAAAAAAAAATTCTTCTTCTCCTTCATTCACGCAAAACACGAACAGAAACCAAAAAAAAGAAAGAAGGA